TTACATACAGCTTCTTATTTGTCATTATAGGTTTGTGGGAAGGAATACAGAACAGCAGAAAGAAGAAACAACAGGGGAAAGATACACCAGCTATAGATATCTTTATATCATTTTACATTTCTAAGGAAGATGACTTGTAGCAGCTCCTGTTCCACTACTCCTGATCTCTCCAATTCATTCTCCCCACTGCAGCCTAAATAATCTTTCCAAAATGCCCACTTCTGTTAGTCATGCCCAGTTGATCCCAAGTTAAGATATTTCTTCAAACATCCTTCAACACATATGAAAGGTGGTTAGAGACATCCTTCAACCCCCCCACCTTGTGAACCAGAGACTCCTGAAAACCCCAGGGGAGCAGGCTGGCACAGTCTGGGGTGTGAGCATCTTTCTGTGATCTACGCTGGCAGCTCGGGTACCAACCTTCATGCCTACCTTCACCACCAGGTCCTCTGGCCTCAGCCTCCCTACTTTCCCTCCCTCCCCCCAACCCCAGCTAGAGGGCATGGTTCACTGCCTGCTGTTTCTCCTTTTCTGACTCAATTGTATACAGCATTGTTTTCTTAATCTTCCTTTTCTCTACTTCATTGTGTGTAAAAACATTCAAGCAGAGAGTAGATTAACTTCTATTTCTCCCATTTACTGAAACTCATTCTTTATTGTTCATTTAAATACCAAAAACTTTGCTGTATGTTAAGATTTATAAGTGCAAGGAGAACCAATAAATGCAATGAAGTAAAACAAGATAACAATTCAAGTGAGAAAAGAAAGGGTATTTGGAATTCCTAATTTCTTATATAGGCAATCACCCTATTCCATTAATCTATGGGCACATTCTATTTTATTTCATTATATATATATTTTATTTTCATAAAAGTATTTTTGGGTGGAGAGATAGCACAGTGGGTAAGGCGTTTGCCTTACACGCGACTGACCCAGGGTTTAATTCCTCCATCCCTCTTGGAGAGCCCTGCAAGCTACCAAGAGTATCCTGCCCACACGGCAGAGCCTGGCAAGCTCTTTGTTGTGTATTTGATATGCCAAACACAGTAAAAGTAAAGTAAAAGTAAAGACCCTCCTGTTGATCATCGATTTGCTCGAGTGGGCCCAGTAATGTCTCCATTGGAGACTTTGTTGTTACTGTGTTTGGCATATCGAATACGTCACGGGGAGCTTGCCAGGCTCTGCTGAGCAGGCGAGATACTCTCGGTAGCTTGCCGGGCTCTCCGAGACGGGCGGAGGAATCGAACTCGGGTCGGCCATGTTGGCTGCGTGCAAGGCAAACGCCCTACCGCTGTGCTATCAAGTCTCAAAATGGAGGCATTACTGGTGCTCACTCAAGCAAACAGATGAACAATGGGAGGACAGTGCTACAAAAGTATTTCACAATAGTTCATTACAGAATATATTCAAACACCAATCCCACCACCAAGTACCTACCCACCACAATAAGGGTTTGTGAAGGTTGTTGTGTTTCATTCTGGAGCTATGTAAGCCTGAATATAAGAGAATATAAGCAAGTATGTTAGAAACCAAACAAATGTGAGCATGGCGATGGTTGGGTTCTGGAAGTTCTCAGGCAGTCGGGGTTCCTTGGGGGGAGGCAGGGAGGGAAACTCAACCTGTCCCTCTCCGAGGTGCCCTGGTAAAGACAGTCTGCCGTGGGGTCAGGAAATTCTGAAGCCCTCATCTTCTATTTTAGAAGCAAATCGAAACATTATACTCTGAAAAGAATTACTAGTAGATATTGTTAGGTCGGCCCAGAGAGGGACACTTTGAAACCTGCCTATGCAGTTCCGTCAGCACCCCAGGCCCCACCAGAATCCCTGGAACCCACACCCAAAGAATATCTACGAACTTTGTTCCCCTCCTCCCGCCTCCAGTCAACCCCCAATAGGCAGAAATTGGTCCTGGTTTGGAATTAACCATGCACCCCTCCCCTACCCCAGGTCTCCTTTATTTCCTTATAGCCCACCCTAAAAAACAGCACCTGTGATCTTCATTAGCTCCTCCAGTTCACTGTCTTTCCACTAAACCCTATTTCAGCCTAATTCTTATTGGACTCTAATTGTGGGTGACAAAAACAGCCCCAGATGGGGAAGGAGGAGCAGGGAATAAATCCTGCTAAGGTTCTCACATGGGGTCTGAACTACAGAAAGGGCTGAACTCTGAACTCTGGCCCTGGATGCCTCCTGAAGTTTGGGGGTATCTTACTGTTTCTCTGACATCTTCCTGACCCTGGCAGTGCTGTGATCCCTCCAAGATGACAAGTGCAGACACATCAGGATGCAGCCAGAGCTGCAGGGACGAGACCTCACATCACCCCGAAGCCCTGGCATTCCAGCCATACTCCTTCTAGTACCTTTGTAGGCCTTGCTGGAGAGATAGACTAAGCAGCCAGCTGTTCCCCAGCTGCCCTTGAGCCACCCTAGAGGTACAGGAAACAGCTGAGGCCTCGCCAGAGAGGGCAGTGACCATGCAGGAACTGCTGGTGTCATCTGGGGAACTATCTGTGTCTTCACTGGCTGTGACCGAGTAATATTTAGGTTCCAAAGGTCAGCGCATGGCCAGGCATTGACCAAGTGGAGAGAAAAGGAAGAATCACTTGTATCACTTGCATCACTTGTCTTCCTGTTGCTCATCCATCTGCTTGAGCGGGCGCCAGTAACGTCTCCATCCATCCCTGTCTCGAGCTAGTGTAGCCCAGTGGCATCTGCTTGCTCCAGGAACACTAAAAGCCTCACACCGTTCAGGTCTTGATGAAGAAGTCTTACCATCTTGTAGGTGGGTGGCCAGATGTTCTTTTGACATCCCATGCAATCCAGTTGGTAACAGCTCTAATCCAGCGGTTGTCTCTAAATCACTTTAGATTAGATTAGATTTTCGCATTAGATTAGATTATCACATTAGATTAGATTAGAAATGTATTAAATTAAAGAAAAGGAAGAATAAGACCAAGAATAAGAGCAAGTGAGCAAGCAAGTGGAACTACAGAAACGAAACAGAGCAGTGAATAAATCTTGTTCCAAGTACTTGAATCATCCTTGTTATCTGTGGTCTGGTCGGTGTCTGGGCATTTAAGCCCATGCTCTATGGGTCTGACTTTTTTTTTTTAACTAGGTTGAAAACTCATGACCCTGAGGCACAAAACAGAGTCTGGCTTTCAGGAGGGAGCTCCCTCTGCCCAGCCCGGGTCCTATCTTTCAGCACTTCCAGGATCCTGGCTCACTTGGGCTTTGCACGCTAGGCCCTGCTGAGTGTCAGATAATGAAGGGTCCTGGGAAGAAAATGAAGAGAACCCCCATCTCTGAAGAGGGGGCTCTCAGCAACACGAGACCGAGAAGGTCACCTAGAAAGGATGCTTTTTCACCATTTCTGATGGGTGCTGCTTTGTGAAAATTAGAATTGGGTGTGGGGACAGTTCCTCGGGAGCTTGGCATAGGGTGGTGGGTAGAGGGGAGGAATCAGGGTTCAGGGCCTTGAAATTTTATTTTTCACACCTCAAATGTGAAAGTTTTTTTCTTATGACATTTCTTATAAGACACAGATGTCAAATTTACCTGGAGAAATACATTAAGGTAATTATTATTACTGAATGTCTGCATATGTCTGCATATCAGTAGGTGACAATAATTTTCAGGCGTCACAATTAACCCAAGGTGGGGGGCTGACATGTGAAAGCTGGAACGTGAGCTCTCAGAATGACCACGCCTGTCTCTAACCAGTGCCACGTCCCAACATCATTCAAAACAACTGGCTTCAGACTGGCCTTTCCTCACTCCAGATGATTCTGCAAATGTCAACACCCAAGGTCCAACAGTAAACAAAGTTGCCCAGGTAATACAGAGATGTGAAGAAGGAAAGAACATAAATTCAGGAATGGGTTATCACCCACTCAAACTACAGCAATGGGGCCTCTGGACTCAAAGTGCCCTCCAAATATCCCTTGACTCACAAGAACTTCAACAGAAAAAAAGCATAGTAGTCTAGTATGTAGTAGTAGTCCTGACCATTTTGTAGTATAGTCCTGACCTTTGCATTTTGATGTTATTATCACTGAATAGTTTTGATTTAACACTTCTCTACAGGTAATAAACACTTGATTTAGAGTCAGGCTCTCTTTATACTTTAGACTTAGGGACTGTGCTAGTTAACAAATCTTGTTCTGGGCCTCAATTTCCTTAACCAGTTTAGATGTTAGTTAAGTGTATGCTAGGAATAATCTTCCAGTATCACTGAGAAGATAGCAAGCGCTCTTTGGGCCCTATGGTTCCTGGATCACTGGACCATGCAAGTGGACTTGGGTCCTTGCAAGGCTGTACCCAGCAGTACTTGGTGTCCTCTACGACTACACTTGGTGATGCCTAGGGTCATCTAGGACTATGATTGGTGGTGCCTGGGGCCATCTAGGACTATGCTTGGTGGTGCCTGGAACCCTCTAGGACTATGCTTGGTGGTGCTTGGGGCCCTTCAGGGCTCACCCACTGGCACTTGGGTGTACTCATGAGGGCTGTATATAGTGGTGCTTGGGGACCACCAGTGGTTCCCAGTGGTGCTTGGGGTGGCTCTCCAGGACTCACCCAGCTGTGCTTGGGGTCCTCTAGAGCTCAGCCAGTGGTGCTTGGGAACCCCGGGGATGTAATCGACAGTGCTTGGGGGTTCCTTGAATATGCCCAGAGGTGTTTGGGGGCATCACTGTGTCCCCAGTGGTGTTAGGGGAACTTTCAGAGTGGGAGCTAGCTGATCACAGTGAGAAGCCTTACCCCTTGTCCACTCTCCTGACTTCAAGCCTTGTCACTTCCTTCTCCAGTCCTATTCCAAGTCCTGGTGAGGACGCTCCCAAAAATATGCCAGTCCAAGGTTCAGAGGCCTCTCTCTGGAGAAAATAAAGAGCCATAAACCAGTCGGGTGGGGATTTCTCAACATGCTGCTTGCACGCCCTGCAAAACAGGAAGAGGCAGCGGCTTGCAGGTTCCCAGAACACAGGCTTCCAGAGCTAGGCCATGGCTGGTAAGTTTTACAGTGGAATTGCCTCGGAAGGGGCTGGCTTTTTCTGGAGTCACTGTTTGATTCTGTTCAGGGGAGCAGAATCTCCTGAGAGGTATTGGAGGAGGAGAGAGGTGGTCGTAGAGAAGGAGGGAGTTAGGTGAGGGAAGTCGGTGCCCAGAAAGGAAACACATCTTAACTGCCATTCTGTGGTCACACACACTGTTTACTGACTTCCTACGCATCAGGTTTACAGTCCTTACTGTATCCCGTGTGTGCAGAACCGGCACAGACTGGGGCCATTACCACAGTTCCCAGAGAAAGTGGACGACTACCAAGCCTAGTTTTATCACACAGACCGGAAGGGAAATGGGGCTCACCAGCACAGCCCCTGGCTTTCAGCTACTGGCTCAGAGGAATCTGTCCCCAGCCCAGAGGGGAGACTCTGGGCCCAAAGCAGGGATTGCGGTATGCTCAGGACCAATGGCAGACACAGGCGTGCTGGTGATGGAAACTGCAGGGCTGATCTCTGCTACAGGCAATCCTTGTGCTTCCAACAGACAAGATCCTGAGACAGAAGAGCCATACTTTTATCTTGTCTGTGAGCAAGATCACACTCTATGGCCTGCTGGACCAACTCTTTGCGAAGGAGGTGCTGAACCTGGAAGAGAGGAACCTGGTGATTGGGGGAAATACCACCTCCATGGAGATGGCCCGTGAGCTCATCCACAACATTCTCCTGAAAGGGCCAGATGCGTGCCAGATCTTCATCGATTATATCTGTGAGCAGGACACGTCCCTTGCCAAGACACTGGGGCTCTCCTTGGGTAAGCATTTCGGGCTGTCCCGCAGGCTCTGGGTCTCCCAGCTCACATCACAGGCATGTACCGGGTGTTGTCTCTGGGCCCAGGGCCCTGCTGTGGCCACTGCCTTTTCTTTCCTTCCAGTTCTTTTGACCCACAGTGGCACCTCCTGAAGCACAATTCAGCAACCCTTCCCCAGGTGTGAGGTGTTGTGTCCTTGGGGTTGTCACATGCTTTATCTCGTCCTCCACCTTTTCTCAGTTTCTCCGGAGCCATGGGAGGTGACGAGACATGGCGGTATCAGAGTCCTTTCACAGAAAAGTTCTACAAGGGTGGCCCAGCACAAGGTCCCTTCTATAAATGCCCTTGACTGGAGCAGCTGATTATGTCCAGCATAGTGAGGGCCACCCTGCAGTCTTCCTGGTCAGGGTGTGAGGGGCCTTGGGACATCCTGTAGCAACTCCATTAGAGCAGGAAGGTGGGGCCTTACATGGTCTGTGGAAATTTTGTTCCTCAATAAGTGCCTGGAAGTGAAGCATAGCAATATATCTCATTCGTTAGTTTCTGCCAATCTTGAAAGTTTCCAGAGAAGCTTCTCAGGGGGAGTCTACTAGATCCTTACAAAACCACAGGTGATTCAGTCCATGTCCTTGGACGTGACAATCATAATGTGCAGGATCCCAGGGGATAAATTGAGCCCACAGGAGGTCCCAACCAGGACAGGAGGTGGGCGGGTGCTTCCCCTGGAGTGTGACTTTTACCCCTGAGTAAAAGTAGGGAGAATGTGGCACACAGAGGCTGTGAGCAGAGCTTATCAGGTGCAGGGTCTTGTTTCCATCCCAGGTGATGAACAGCCTGGAACAGCCAGCCCAGGCCGACCCCTGTCAGATCCTGGAGTCAGGACAGTTTCCCCTTTTCCCTTTTCCTGCTGCTTGATCCTTAGCCTTGATTGGGATAGACCACTGGGCCACCTGCTCATCACGTTTTTCTCTATGCCGTCTTGGCAAGGCTGGGGACATACATGCCATGAGTCTTCTCACTTGTCTCCCAAATCCAGACCAACACTCAGACCCCTTTACACTTCACGCTGCCTCACGCCTCAGGCAGCAGAAGCATCCTCAGGAGCCTCTTGGAAACATGCACATCAGTAGAATTTTTCATGCCAGCCCCAATGCTGTGTCTAATATGTTCAACAAAGAGAACACAAAATGGGGGACTCACTCTCTGGAGTTTATTATGTGACGGATATGTAGAGTCTTTCATTTCCTGGGGGGACTATTGCTGCAGTCCCTGGGAATGTCTTATTATCAGGAGCTTCTGGCTCATCCACTGGGCCAGCATCAACAGAGGTGAGAAAGGGTGACTATAACATCCGTTTCTTCCCATAGGTCCACAACCTGAGATTTCTATACATGGCTCACAAGTGCTCCCAACTCCCTTGCCAGGTAATGGTATTTTAAAAGCAGGGACACATTATTGAGACCAAGCCATGGGGAGGAGGTTCTGGTCATGTAGGTTGGCTCATGCTATTCTCTCCTCCGAGTCTATTCTGTTTCTTTTCAGTTTCACGACCTTGTTGATAATAACAGGCTCTGTATCTGTGTCTCAAACCCTAAGTCCTTCCAGGATGCCACCCTCCTGTGGCACTGCTTCCACAGACACTGCTCTGTGCATATGCAATAATGTCAATTCCCCCTTGTGTATTCATAAAATGAATAAGAAACATAAGACTCTCTTGCCACCACTGTTTGGTGGTCTTGGGCCACTTCCCTACCAAGGATAGCCAATGACATGGACAGATAAAGGAAGAAATGAGGGCCAGAATGGTTGGTGTTAGCATTTTATTCCAATCTCGTCTCCAGTTTGACTTTCCTCGAATCTCTTTTCCTTCTCCTAGATGCCCCTTGATTCTCCCTGATACCCCGATTCTCCTTGATTCTCCTTCCCCGACCCTGCTTCTACATTTTTCCCTTCTGTCCCTCTTGCTGGCCATCCTGGTCTCTCTAGTCTCTTACACACTCAAAACACTTCCATGGTAGCCACACCCAGGTCTAGTCAAAATATGAAAGCCCTTCCTGATCTCCTGCAGCTGGGAGATCTTCTCAAGGAAGAAATATCACCTAGAGTGTGTTTCTTCTTTCCTTAGTCCAATATCCATTTCAATATTCATCTTAATTCTACTCCTTAGTCATAATTCTACTCCTTAGTCAGATTGTACAGATGCTGTAAGAGACACATTAAGCTATTAGGGTCACTCTCCTAGGGACATCTCACCATAGATCCCAGTCTACAGTGCTCAGGCCAGATTAGTCTTTCCTAACCCTATAAGGGTCCTAATTTAGTTGTTACTTTTTGGATCATGACAGAATTTGTCTATGACCATGCTCTTAACTTATATTTAAGCATTATGATGCTTTGGCCTGGCCCATTTTGATGCCAGGTAGCTCAAAGCTTGCCCTGGGTCCATCCAGTCCCTGTTGGGACCCTTCATTTTGGGGTGCTAGGATGTAAGGGCAACTGAGGCTTAAGTCAAAAAAATAGATGCCTCGGAGTGAATATTATTCAGAGTCAGTTAACTCCCAAGTACAAAAGCATAGCATTAACTCTCTTCCCATGTCTATACAAAAAGGACATTGCTCTGAAGTAACTATGCAAAGGACGTAAGGAGAAGAGAAAAGCAATATTTAGAAGTTAACAGAGTCTGATTAGAAGGTAAAGGTGATTGACCTGTGGTGGAAACAGAGCACAAAGAAAGAGGTTACAGACAAACACAGAGGAATGGGAGTGACTTGGGTGCACTGTGATGGGTGTAACCCAATAAAACTAAGCTCCCTGTGGCAAGGCAAAAAAAAGGACAAACCAACATTATCCTACATCTCCCTCTTTGCTGTTTACAAAAATCACAAAAAATTGAAATAGAAAGAGAAACAATTCCAATCACAAAAGTCTTATTTTTGTACTAAAACTTCAGTCTGCCCCTAAACCCAGAGCAGTACTTATTTTTAAGTGTTCGATTGTCTTTCACTGTACAGGGATGATGAGATTTGTTTAGTCATATTTTGAAGAAATGAAGTGTCTGGATCAAATTTGAAGAGTTGTTCCTGCAATAGCAGCAATGAGTCCCAGGGGAGCAACCATTAAGACTTCAATAATTTTCAGGGGCACTGGATCAGGCAGGAAGCACCATAGCAGGAGTATCACAACTACTGTCAGGAGTCCTTCACCAGGGGAATGCAGCCATTCTCTGGTCAGGTTCACCGGCAATCATAGATGTGAGTTTTAGCTTATGTTTGAGAAAAAACACTTTTTAAAAAGTTATCAGAGGCTTTAATCATTGGGATTTGGTACATCTCCATGCCTTAGGGTAGAGAAAGAGACAGAGGGAAGCTCCATTACAAACAGATATCCTAGAGAGAATTGAAAATATGTCCCTGTTAAAAGTCATTCCTTTCTCCTTTGGCAACTGAGGCACCTGTAAATTCCAAGGAAAGGGTAAAAGGAGGGAATTGTTAATCCAAAATATGGGGTCCTGGCGTTGTCCAATCTACAACCTATAAAAGAAGGTTATAAGGAATGTCCTTAATGTGACCTCATGATATGTTAAAGGAGCTAGAGGCCTTTACTGCAGATCCTGACACTGGCTCACCCTCTGATTTCCTTGTGACTGGTGGGACAGTCGCTCCAGTCCGTGGAATGTCTTTCTAGCACGAACTTTTGGCTCATCCACCGGACCAGCATCATCAGAGGTGACAAAGGGTGACTTTTTTTTTTAATTTTTCTTTTTTTATTAGTGAAACACCATGAGGTACAGTTGTAGATTTACAATTTTTTGTGCTTGGGTTTGATTATACAATGATCAGATACCCATCCCTCCACCAGTGCCCATTTTCCACCACATTGGATAATATCCCCCCCACCCCCATCCCCCCATCCCCCCCTGCCTCTGTGGCAGGGCAATCCCCTGTGTTCTCTCTCTCCTTTTGGGTGTTGTGGTCTGCAAAAGAGGCATTGAGTGGCAAACATGTTCAGTTCATAGTCTACTTTCGACATGCATCTCCCCTCCTGGGAGGATCCTCCAAACACCCTTTATTTGGTGTTCCCTTCTCTGTCTGAGCTGCCCTTTCCTCTAGAATGCCCGACTGGCCACTAAGCTATGGAGTAATCCTCCTGGTGCTGATCTCAGCTATTCTTGAGTATTAATCTCATACTTTGTTACTTTATATCCCCCAGATGAATGCAATCTTTCTATGTCTACCCCTCTCTTTCTGACTCATTTCGCTTAACATGATACTTTCCATCTTGTACCACTTGTATGTAAATTTCATGACTTCATCTTTTCTAACAGCTACATAGTACTCCATTGTGTAGATGTACTAAAGTTTCTTTAACCAGTCATCTGTTCTTGGGCATTCAGGTTTCTTCCAGTTTCTGGCTATTGTAAAGAGTGCTGCAATGAACAAACAAGTGCAGATGTCACTTCGACTATACATTTTTGCCTCTCTGGGATATATTCCCAGGAGTGGTATTGCTGGGTCAAATGGGAGCTCAATTTCTAATTTTTTGAGAATCGTCCATACTGTTTTCCAGAAGGGCTGAACAAGTTGACATTCCCACCAACAGTGAAGGAGTGTCCCTTTCTCGCCACATCCATGCCAGCATTGGTTGCTTTTGTTCTTTTGAATGTGGGCCAGTCTCTGAGGTGTGAGATGGTATCTCATTGTGGTTTTGATCTGCATCTCCCTGATGATTAATGATGTAGAGCATTTTCTCATGTGCTTTTTTGCCATTCGGATTTCTTCTTTGAGAAATTTTCTGTTCATTTCATTGCCCCATTTTTGGATGGGGTTGGATGTTTTCTTCTTGTGGAGTTTAACCAGTATTTTGTATATCCTGGATATCAACCCCTTGTCAGATGTGTATTCGGCGAATATCCTTTCCCATTCTGTAGACTGTCTTTGTATTTTGGTCACTGTTTCTTTGGAGGTGCAGAAGCTTCTTAGTTTAAGATAGTTCCATTTATCTATCTCTGTTTTCACTTGCTCAGTCAGTGGCGTGGCATCTTTGAAGATACCATTAGCTTCAATGTCATGGAGGGTTTTGTCAACTTTGTCTTCAATGTACCTTATGGTTTCTGGTTTGATGTTGAGGTATTTAATCCATTTTGATCTTACTTTTGTACATGGTGTTAGGCAGAGTTCTGAGCCCAGACAAAGGGTGACTTTAACATCTATATCTTCCCATAGGTCCACAACCTAGGATTTCTACACACGGCTCACCAGCACTCCCAGCTCCCTTGCCAGGTAATGGTATTTTAAAAGCAGGGACAGTATTTGAACACTAACGAATGACACATGCATGAGATCAAGCCAGAGTGAGGAGGCTCTGGGCAAGTAGGGCACAGACTCTGAGTCTGTGTCTCAAACCCTAAGTCCCACCAGGATGTGGGAAAACATCCTCAATTGATGTTCTCTCACCTTTAGCATCCAAGTGTGGCCAAGTTTTGCTCAAATTCCCAGCTTCTCTCCAGTCCCCACTGGCTGTGTTTCAAAATCCCTGCAAGTCTTCTATCTATTCACGCATTTGTTCTTTAATTTCTCTTACATTTCTGTTTCACATACCTTCCCCTTGAAACTGTGAATTTGAAGTTTGCAGAGGAAATCAAACATAGTTGACTCCTTCCCACACAGGATCTCCCTGGAACATAGCTTACCCTCGGGTGCATGCAACAGATGGGACTTGAAGCCCCATTCACTGAATCCTTTCATCACTGTGGCCCTCACTCACAAGCCATTAGGAACATTCTGAGCACACGCCAATTATTAGGCACAGACCCTGTTCTCTGGACAGGGCTGAGGGCCAGAAGCACTACAAACACGGTTCTTTTGGCGATTGTGCCAATATATCAATTATAGGTGCTCAAGAACCCCCAGCATGAAATTCACACTAGCCCCAAAATTTAGCCATGAAAATGACAACTCACACCTACCAGTTCCAATGAAACAGAATGTACCCAAGAGATGGGACAGAGAGTAGGATGCAAGCCTTGTATTCAGCGGGCCCTGGTTCAATTATCTGGCACCACACATTGTCCCCCAACCCCAACCAGGAGTGATCCCTGAGCACAGAGCCAGAAGTCAGCCCTGAGCACAGCTGGTGTCAACTCAAAATAAAACAAAACTAAAACTAAAAACAAAACGAAACAAACTCCCCAAACACCTGCAGATTAAACAATGTTGTGAAAACATCAAATGTATGCAAGTGCTCAGGGGGAGATAAAATCTTCTTTCCCACCCTGGGGGATTCTGGAGCAGGCTGTTCTCCCTGTGGAACTCAGACTCAGACACTCTTCCATCCTTGCATGAAAAATAGCTCCAGTGGAATCTAAATAGTTTCTTCAGTATTTCCTGTTGTTTCCCAGATTCCCTTATGAAGAAATCAGATATTTCTTCCCCCATTTGTCCTCAAGCATCTCTTCCTCCTGACTTTTCTCTCCAGGCTCCCTGGGAGCTGCTTTGCTTTAACGAACTGTTAACTTTGCTTTAGATCTCCCTTCAAGACTGAATTTAATTTTGATTTTTGAATACTCATTATTTTGGGGTAAGGAGCCTCCCAATATTAAGAAAACGTATTTTGATTTTGAAAAAAAGACTGCATTCATTTCTCCAGCAAGTGCTTATCTTGTTGGAGACTGTGTCCCTTGGGAGCAAATATTCCCTCCAGTCTTGTCTCACTTGAACTGCTGTGAGGCATCTTCCTCCTGTGTGAGCGCAGGTATTGAGGTGCTGGGAACCCAGGGGGCTTGTGCTGGCACTGTAGCACTTAGCACGATCTTGCCACACTCTGCACGGACATCCTATTTCCTCCTCGCTTCCCCAGGGCCTTGCTCTGGCAGCCAGACCTCAAGAGTTGCTGTTGTGCTTTCTCTGTTCTCTCTGTTCCCCCCCCCCCCTCTATATATTTCTGTCTCTATTCTGTCTCACACACACTCACTCACACACACACAACACTAATGCCTACTATGTCTGTTCAGCAAATAAATACACAGTCACATCTTTCTAAAACAGGTATAGCCATTTTTACCTACCTCCATTAAATTTTATCCTAAGCTTTAAATCACTTGAAACTAATATATATCTTAACTATTTTATCTGATCTGTTTTTCTTATGAGAGTTTGACATCATTAAAGATCTTAAAATACCCATATTTAGAGTAAAAGCATTTGTGAAAACGCAGACCTTAAGGGATAAAGGGACTCTTGTGACCCGTGAATGGATGGCTAGATTGCGTTGCATGAAAGTGATCTCCAAAACATGGGGATGCCTCCCAAAGGGATGCTTTTCTCAGAAGCATTTTCTTCTCCTTGGGTTCACACACAGCTGATGTATGAAGGGTACCAAGTGAAACTCTAAGTAGGACATTATTCTTGTTTCTTTTCTCTCATAGCTTCTCTCATGGTGCAGGTGACGGATGACATCAAAAGCTGTGAGCCAGAAACAACCCTCAAGCTCTGCTCTCTGGACTTTGTCCAAGAGATGCAGCAGCAGAAGGTATCAGAATGCTGTGCTCAGTACTGAAGGAGCAGGGTAAAAGTCACCAGAGTTCTTTTCACAGTTCCAGGGTCCTTTCATAGACAGTGACCTTGAGAGATTCTGAAAAAAATCTTGGTTTTTCCTTGACATAATGGATTTCTATCTCCCAGGATTTTCAACGTATGCAGAGAACTCAGGGAACTGAATCAAACTGAATTTCATCCAATTTCCCGAGTGAATAATTATGATTATAATTTTAGTCACAGGGCACCTATTAAATTTTTACAAATTTGACATTTTACTAAGCATAATATAATGAATAAACTCATCTTCAAAGTAAAACATTTTAGAGGGCAGGAAACTGAGGCATGAATTGGGAAATACTTGGACAGTCCAGTAAGTGGAGAAGTCAGTGTTAAATTTTAGCCATTCTGGAATGACTGAAAGTCATTTCATAACAGACTCAAATCTGTTCACCTCATAATTCCACCCTTCAAATACAATTATATTAAGCACTTGGTGGCCATTTGGGTGTCTGTGAACTCAATGGTCACCCTTAGGGCAGGGCTTATTTGTACTTCCAGGTTTGATCTGTGATTGTGGAGCTCAGTTTCTTGGCAAGACGAGCAGAGTAGAAGCAGGGAGGCTCTCAGGATGAATATTGAGTCAAAGACTCATCATTCTGTCTAAATTCTCTATAGATCTACCCCATCAAGGAAAAGTCAGGCCAGCGCACACGGCTTGCCCTCATCATCTGTAACATGGAATTTGAACATCTTCCTAAGAGAACTGGAGCTGATATTGATGTGAAAGGCATGAGGAAGCTGCTGCAAGACCTGGGGTACAGTGTGGAAGTGAAAGAAAACCTCACAAGCTCGGTAAAACATCATAATACAGAAACCTGCTCATATTCATCATGTTTCTAAGACATCTTAAAAAAATGGGGTTTGTAGCCCCAGAAATTAAATGCACTGATAATAAAAAACCTGTATTTGGCCTTCTGGGATGCTGATTGCTACCAAAGTCCCTTCTCAGATAGAACCTTTTAGCAAAACTCTGATAGAATTGATCATTGCAATATAATCCAATAATGTCCCATTACTTCCTGAATGGTGTCTTGTCTCTCTTTGGTTCACTCTTCTCTATAGAGTTACCCTTCATTTTTCTTCGACATTCTACTAATCTTCATTGTTGATCACTGTGTCTTTATGGATTCCCAAGAGGTGCCATGAACATGATTTACACAGTTCAGAATGGTGTGCTGCTCTCTTCCAGGACATGGTGATGGAGCTGAAGGCGTTTGCTGCCCGCCCAGAACACGTGTCCTCTGATAGTACTTTTGTGGTGTTCATGTCTCATGGGCTTCGGGAAGGCATCTGTGGAAAGAGACACTCTGAGACTTCCCCAGATATATTAGATGTTGACCAAATCTTTCGAAGTTTGAATACTCCGAACTGTCCAAACTTGAGGGATAAACCTAAGGTGATCATTATCCAGGCTTGCCGTGGCGGTGAGTGCTAACATCTGTTAGGAGACCAGACACCTCCCTGTTGACTTCAGCAGCTGCAGGAGACTTATAGCTGGCAGTTTCTTTGTGTCTGCAAATGTTAGAGTCCAGAGTTGACCACCTCTCAAGGACAGAGAACAGAGCTGATAATGCAAATCACATAGCGAGGTTTATTGTTCCAGCTAGCTGGGGTCCATGTATTTGCTTGGCGCAGCAGGCTTCAACAAGGACCCCGAGCACTAAGTTCAGCAAATTCTTATACTTTCATTTTAGCAATTTCATTTAAGCACTATTCAGCATGAATACATATATTTTTGTTGTTGTTGTTGTTTTGACCCTCAATATCCAGCCCACTCCCTAACCGTCACATTCCAGAGACCTAATCTTATTCCTTGGATATAATCTTTGACAAAAGCATCAGGTTTTCCTGCTTTTCTCGTTCCTGGAAGAGGCCTAAGTTACTCAGAGCCTGTTATGGCAGTTCTCCAGCTAAGTGGGTCCTAACAAAACAATAGTAAAATTAAAATAAAAATCCTTAGGCTCTGGGAACTGTGAGTCTAGTTGATATATAGTTGTTCCAAGTTTTCCTAGAAACAAAATTTCTTGTCGTGTTTCAACTTACATCTTTGATGTTTGGATCTTTTTAGGATTCATTTGAGAGCTGGCAAAGATAAGAGTTATTGAAAAGATTGTTCCAGAGATACAGATTGTGGATGAAAAATAGTGACAAAAAGATGAATATAATTTTAGAAAAAGATATTCAGTTGATAGTAATAAGATGAATGAAACTTGTCTTTCCAGGCAGAGAAGGAGCAACATGGGTGAAAGATTCAGCAGAAGAAGATTCTGGAAACTCTCGATTAACTCTGGAGGATTTTGAGGAGGACGCCATCAGGAAAGTGCACGAAGAGAAGGACTTCATTGCTTTCTGCTCCTCTACTCCAAGTAATGCATGTTTTCTCTAGACATCTCTGTGGGTTCTACCAGGCAGAAACTTCCCTCTGTCCACCAAGGTGGTCTTATCTCTGTTGACATTTCCCCTACAACTTCTGGGGACCTCATCTTTCTTTCCAGTTACATCCTCAATTCCTTTACCTACATAGAATAAAGGAGCATATATTCTTACCGAATTAGTAAAATCCTGCATGATATAAAACATTTTCCTGGAATAGTGAAGGGTAAAGGAATATACCTACACTGTAATAAATTACAAACAGACTGTACATAAAAAAGACTCATAGTGTTGAAATCACTTGTTAGACATTAATTTTTTTAAAGACTTTTTATCGTCCAATAAAATTTTAGTTTTCCTTTTAAATCACTTCTAGGCTTGTATGTTTTAACCTTTCATTCCATTTTTACTTTGACTTCTGTATGGTCAATGTTTTTAAAAATGGTTTTTGTTATGTTTTACAGTGTTGGGGCCATACTCAGCAGTGTTCAGGTTCACTCATGGTTGCGTTTGGGGAACTCTATATGGTGCAGGGGATCTAATCCCGGGTGTGCCACAAGCAAGGCAGTCACATCAGCTCCTGTACTATATCTCTAGCTCCAGAATTTTTTAAAAGCTTAAATAAAGCATTTACTAAGCAAAAAAAATGTTTAAAGTTATGAATATTTGTATCCTGTATAGACTGGGTGTTATATATATTCTATATTCACCCTGACACCTATAAAGTATTCCACCTAGTCTTCAAAAATGGCTTGTGTAGAGATCATCATGCAAAAGGTTTTAAATCAACATAAATCAGAGTCAATAAGCCTCACTCTTGAAGTTCACACTCAGGTTACTTCTGCTTTTTGTTTTGATTGTTTTTCCCGGTTTTTATTTTTTTTGGGGGGGGGGGAATCATACCTGGCAGTGCTCAAATACTGCAATAAGATCTCTGTTCAGGGATCACTCCAGAAAACCTCAGGGTACCATCCGATGCCAGGAATGAAACTGCATGTGGAGTCTGGGCTGAGCCCGCTGCTCACTCAGATCCTCCCCAGCCAGATCCTTCTTCCCCATTCTGCCTTCTCTGCCTGTCTGCTTGATTGACTTCTGGAACACAGAGATTCTTGACCCCGACATGGTCCACCCACCTCTGCCCTAAACAGTGGTTTTTATATGGGTGGAAATGCCTCCCCAGATGCTGACCAGATGCATGTTCCATAGGACAACAGCATGCCGCCCAGGGGACGCCGGGGCCTCCCTCTCTGGGCGAGTCAGAAGCCATTTCCTGAGATCTGGAATGTGCTTTCCTTATAGATCATTATTCCTGGAGGAGCCCCGAAAAAGGCTCTCTTTTTATTACAAAACTTATCGAGAAGTTGAAAGAATATGCCTGTTCCTATCACCTGGAGGACATTTTCCGAGAGGTAAGGCTTTAGAAGCTTTTTGCAATCTGCCTTCCTGGATATTGGATGATTCCAGCTAAAACACTGAGGAGCAGCTTGAAATCATCCCCTTCCCCCCTGTCCTCCCCACCCTCCAATGCCTTCTTTCCACACTGGTTCTTGAGGGTGCTTAGAATCATCTAACCTGGTATAAGGAGGCAAGAAACATAGGTTGTTTTTGTTTGCCAGACAGTGCAGTAGGTAAACAGGTGGACTCTGATCTGCCTCTGTTTGAAGCCATCAGATCTTGTGGCAGATTTTTAAAGTCTGGTGGGTCATTTCTAATTGCAATGTGCATATTACTGATTCTGACAGAGAAAGAGACTCCCCCACTCTCCAACACTGCCCCCCCTCCCCCCAGTCATCATAGCTGTTTACTATCACAACTCTGTCATTTTCCCTCCAGTAGGAAAACAGAATAAGGACAGACTGGCTTTTCCTTCCAGGTCCGGTTTTCCTTTGAGCTCCCGGCAACACGACTACAGATGCCCACCACTGAGAGGGTGACGCTGACCAAACCCTTCTACCTCTTCCCAGGGTACTAAGTGAGTGAGCGGTGCAAGTCTAGGATGGGCAGGGGGTTGGCGGGGGGTGGGGGGAGGATTGGGACAAGAGCAGGTGCTAAAACCATGCTGGGAAGTCCTGAGGGCCCAGTGCCACAGAAAGAGAGATGTTAGTGCCTTTCCCAAGCCAGTCACTCTCCCTCTGTCTCCTGCAGTGGTTCTTTCTTGTGATCTTGCTAGAGGAGAACTTCTCTGGATTTTTGGGCCCTTCAATACTGCACCCCTCCCCTGGGCAGGCTGACCCCAGGATGGGCTATTCCATGTCATCCCTGAGCACGTGTGGCCGACACAGATGACTGTACCCTTATTTCTGCTTAATCTGTATTTGACTTCTTATTTCTTCTGTTCCTCTAGGAAGCATGAAATGCCCTTGTTTGGTATCTGCTTCTGGAGTCATTTCTGTAGGAAGCAGATGTTTCTTCAGACATTCTAATAAATCAAGTAAAAATACAGGTTGTCGTGTGTTACCTTGTTTTGTTCATCACCAGTAAAAGGCAGAATCTGGAGCAGGTAACAGATTTGGGATTTTTGAGCTATGGTCCACCAGAGCCGACCTGGGTAAAAGCACAGTTCTTTCTAGAAATGGTTGATGGGTCTCCTGTTCCAGGTCTGCGGTGAAAATCCTAGTTGACTCTTTACCTCAAAGATGAGGAGCGGGCAGGAGAGCTGCAGAGAAGGGAGAGGCCAAGTGGGGTGTGGTGTGCCAAAAATCCTCTTGGCAAGGCCAGGAGTGCATGTTCACATTCCAGCATACTGCAAGGCAGCTCTGATTCAAACCCCAGCCACTAGCTAGTTCCCAGCAGTGTTGGTGACAAGAGAATTGTCAGCAGCAGAAAGCAAAGCTGATGGCACCTGGCATCCTAGCAATGAACTGGGATATGTGTGTGTGTGTGTGTGTGTGTGTGTCTGTGCATGCATGTGCTTGTGTGTATATGTGTGTGCATGTGCGTGTGCATGTGCATGTGTATGTGTGTGTGTCCATGTGTGCATGTGTGTGTGTGTGTGTGTGTGTGTGTGTGTGTGTTGTACACAGGACAAAGTCCTGGTGTTGGGTGGATGAGAGTGATCTGGGGTTACTGTCAGGTTAGACTTGGGAGCACAGGAAGGACTCTGGCAAGCGAGATCACACTGTTGACCTTTGGAGGCCTTCACAGTTGGATCTCCTCTCTCTGCCTCCCTCCTTGTCCCCCTCTCCTCCCTCTCCTTCTCCCTATTCTCCCACCCCATCTGCATTCTCCAGCAGCCTGAGATAGCTCCTTGCTCAATCACTGCTGAATGGTTATCAAAAAGGGAAGTGAGCAAGGAGCCTGGAGGAAGTAGAAGGTGAAAACCACTGACAGACAAAAGTCAACCTGAGGAAGTTCAGACCAGGGCACCCTCAGACCATTTCTCTAAACAAAGTCTGTGAGAACAGCAGGCTGGAAGGGGTGTGTGTGTGTGGGGGGGGGGGGGGGGACATCATGGTTCCAGGGAAATGGGAAACAAAGACCAACCGGAAGGAGGAACAACTTTTCCATCTCCACAGGGGAAGGCCCAGTGAGCCAGGACTGGAAAAGTCTGCTCTGGGCTGTGACTCACATTCCACCAGGAGGCAGCTGTTAAGCTGCTCCGGAAGTCCACTTGTTCTGCTCTGCAGGAGACCTGGTCCCCAGTGCCTAAATTCTGGGAGGCCAGGGACTCAGACTGAGCAAGGAACAGCTCTTTGTAGGAAAGGCAAGTTAGTTCTCCCTTTGCACAGGCATTCCAGGCAGACAAGAATTTTAGGAAGAGACAAAATAATGAAGCAACATAGTCTTTGTTGAAAGAAAATGACTCTGGGAAGTGTGAGGGCAGAGACTGAGAGGAATACTCTCACCACAGGCTTCTCTGGAGTGGCTGCGATTGACTTGGCCCCAGGTTCTGTGACACATGAAAGTTAATCTGCACATGGTCCCAGAGAGGGCCTCCATGGACTCTGGAAGGGCCATTCATATTTTTTGTATTGTTTGGGGGCCACACATGGTGGGACTCACAGTTTACTCCTAGCTCAGCACTCAGGGAGGCTGGCATTCTCAGTTGGGCTCTTATACATAATAGGCCAGTGCCTTACCTCAAGCACTACCCTTAGATTCTCTCATAGCTCTTCCTTGTCCTTTCCCTTCTCTGGGTGGTGCCTCTAAAGAGCTCGGGACTTGCACCTCAAAGGGAAGTGGTCTTCATGTCTTTGGACTACTTCAAGGAAGGGCAATTTCAAATTTATGATTTCCCAAAAGCTCATCACCAGAGTCCTCCTATCTATCTGCTGCAATAATTTTTAGCTCTTCCATAATTTGTGTTTTAAGCAGAGGGATACATTGTTGGGGTACAGTTTCCCTCCAATGGTGCCCGGGCACATTGTGCAACATCTGTGGGGTGAAGGATGATGGGCGCATGGAGAAACACCCTCTGGGAGCAGCTGATGGCTGTTCACTTCATTGCCAAATACACACATATTTTATAGGGGTTCTCGGCTTAAGAGAATGGTCCAATCAGAGAAAGCTTAACATTATTGGCCTATCACTCTCCAAGTCTGCTTTGTCCCAGTCCAATCCCAATCAAGGCTAGATGCTGCAGTTATGAAGACTTGCTAAGCATATGTGACAGTTTCTGTGTCTAGGGCTCATGTGACTAGGAGGTCGAGTGAGGCTCAAAGCCGAACACCCGGTGTTGGCTGACACCCTGTTCTTGCCAACTTTGCCCAGATACTCCCTCTTCTGAGACTTTGCTTCTGGGCTGCTTTGCAAAGTCGCATCTTATCTGTACCAGTCAGTGTCCATCACTATGCTCCACAATACGTGCCGAGGGATCATAAGAAGAAAGGCAATACTCACCTGTAGGTAAGCATTTTGTCATTTCCCTTTTTCCTCCCTTTACCAAGGATAAAATCTTTTGTTGCCAAATATAGGGAAACTTCTGAGCTTAGGAATTTCCTGGAATGCCTGGGAAATTCTCTAGCTCTAATCAGAAGCTCTACCCTTAAATTCCCTCCATGAAGAAAAGACTGAGGACTTTTAGTTTCAGTTCTGTAGGCTCTCCAGGCAGCGGGGCAGCAGACACTGAGCTGTGACAATGGTTGGTGAGAACAGGGCCTTTGCTACCAGGACTCCCAGGATTGATCTCCCCGACTCTATTCCGAGCTGTGCGGAAGGAGAAGTCAGCCCATACCCAGAGTGAGTTCTGGCCCTTAGGATGCTCTGACTTGAAGGGAGAGAAGCTGGATAAACTGGTGGGCAGTATCCCCAGAACTCAGAGTGCAGAAGAAGCGCTTTCCTTTCTCTTAGACTATGGTCACCAAAGGGCACTGTTGAGAACAAACCAACCAAGTGGTGTAGCAGGAACCCTGGATGCTGAAACTGCTGCTTCCTCTAATTCACTCCAGATTAGTCACAGGGTCAAAAACAGCACTCCAGGAATCAGATCCAGAGATGCGTGGAGTTAACCCCCATTGCCCCCTTCCCGGGCATACAGTCCGGGTCGTGAATGGGACTCACAGTCCCAGCTCTCTGCACCACCTGCTCAGGCAGTATCCCATGCACCACGGCCCCACTCCCAGAAGCTCTGCCTTTGGGGTCGAACCTGCAATTCACCCTTCTCAGGTCACCAGGTCCTACTCTGAAATAGCTTCAGAGAAGGATCCTGGAGTCCCACCCTTTCTGTGGCTTCACCTGCCAGCCCAAAGGAAGAGCTTTAATAGAGCAGTGATTAACATACTTGGCAGCAACCAGAAGCATCCGTAGGTCACTTTTCAAAATGCTGATTATTTCCCCTCTGGCTTTTCCAACTTTTCAATTTAAAATTTCTTAATTGTAACTGTAGGCATTTATAATCTCAGAGAACAGCTGATGTTCCTCTATGGCTGGTTTAGTCTCATTTTGTTGGTGGATTAATGGTATAATGGGGAGATAATCTGATTATCTTTCAGTTCTGATATTGCATTGTTGCAGGTGCCGTGGTCAAGTGGGAGTGAGAGAGGGGACCTGAGGCAGGGGGAGAATGCTTTCATCTCTCTACTGACCCACCTGGGCCACCTGGGAGATACCTGGCTTGAATGAAGACTAGCAAAGTGGCTCACAGCACCTACATGGCAGAAAGTCCTGTCCCAGCAGCCCCATGTGGCAGTCGTCAAGCTGCAGCTAAAGTTCACTGGGTCTTTCTTCTCAGCTCAGGGAACTGGGCACCATCACAGAGTTCTCCGGGAGTCATGGACTCATGGAATTGTTGTTTGCAGGAAAGTCAGATGTAATGTTAGTTACAGAACTAGGTTTTTCCTGCACTTGTGGATTCTTGAGAACTGCATGGAAGATTTGCACACAAATCTCAGAAGGTTCAAAGTTCATTTATTATACAGAGAGATGGAGATGGGTTTGGTCTGAAGAGAAGGAGGATGAGAGGTCAGGGGAGGAGGTAAAGGGAGGAGAGTTAGAAGGAGAGGGGGAGGGACACATGAGAGAACAACTGAAGCTTCCTATAAAAGGAATAAACTGCTGGTGCCTTCCCCCACTCTCCCCCCATGCTTCCATCCCATTCTCTATTTTGATTGGATGGCATGTTGATGGGGAGGGTTTAAAGTAAATGAACAGATTTACCAGGAGCTGCTTCCATCCGCTCTGCTCTGTCATTTACCTCCCAGGTACATCACCTTCCCTTGCAGCTAAGAATTTCGGAGGAGGCAAAATATAAGGAAAAAACAGATTTTTTGGAAAGGAGTTTATTTAGAGAAGTGTGAGAAGAATATCTGTTCAAGAAAAAGCAGAGAAAGGCTTTTGAGAGAAGATTTTGGACAAATCCTCCCAGTGATCTTGGCCTGGAGTTCTCTGTCCACAGGAGAGTGAATCTGGGCCTTGTCACAGGGAAAACCTTGCGGGTCCTCTTACATTCTTATCAAGACCTTTAGAGTCTCCCATTGCTTCTCCACATCTGAGGGATCCACCCTAGCAAGTGCCTCAGTTTCATCATTTGGGTGG